CAGAATTCGTTTTTGAGAGTAAAATTTATTGAACTATATAATATACAAAAATTGTCAATTTACCTGACTTCTCCATACATTATCTAATAAGTTTTTGCTTACATCAACACAATGGACTCATGTACTCGTGTAAAATATGTTTGTTTTGGATATCTTATCATTTAGGCGGTTATTTCTTTATGTATGAAGAGAATTTTTACTGGTTAGCATGTCATGATAGTAAAGCCTAATTTTCATTACAATATATTGGTTTCAATCGTGCCCTCACTGCAATAAATAACAGTTCATAGATATGTTCGTGCAAATACAACGAGCGAACACATTCCTTGTAGGTTAGTTGTCTGTTGAGTGCGAGTCCTCACAGGAAGCTGCTCGTCGCCAGGCTGTTCACTGCGTTTCTTAACCGCCGCATTAGAAAAAAAAATCCTCGAAATCGTTAGGACGAACCTATGGCGAAGTTACGGGAGAAGCGGAAACGAACATAAGGCATGCGGGCCTCGAAACTCCATTTGATGGTTTTGAAATTGAATCAATTAATAGTAATACAATATCCACAATATGTAACTGCTCAATTTGTATTCAGGTACATGTCACCGAATTTTGATTAATTGAAAAAGTGCATTCGACAGTGTATGTTGTCAGTTTATGTCATTCTCCTGAAGTTGTGTTCGAAAATATTTAGACTCCGTTATTTTTTTCAACCAAGTGCTGTTACGTAAGTTTTTGTTCTAAGGATCATTGTCTCTTCCAACCGAAATTTCTTCAGAACGTAAGGTCAGATTTAATAAATTCCCGATTTTCCCACACGAAACGCGAACCGTTAGGCGCTTGTGAGAACCGAGCTTCTTCCCCAAAGCCGCGAGCGCCTGCCTCCCCAAGTCGTGGGAATTGTTCGTCCGCTGTTGCAGCCCCAGGCCACACCACCGCATTGCATGCTTCATGAATAATAAAATATTTATCCTCTTAAATTATCACGTACGATTGGACCAACGATAATCCGGAATTGAACTAAAAAATCCGATCGCAGAACTCGAACACTGACTTAGGACCGTGCTAAGTATTGCAGAAATTAGAAGTATTACAGGAGAACGTGCGGTGCCAGGTCTCTGGTAGCAGCCACTTATCTTAAGATCATCGAGTTACCGACAGTATTGGTTGAAAAAAAATCAAATTTCATTACAATTTTCAACTTTGTCATAAAATTATGCTATTGTTGGTTAAATCGAGTTACCCTCTCCGGCTTACCAGGACTAGTTAGGTTTTTAATTATATGCATCTGCTGGATATTTGATCCACTGCTTTGTTAATTGTATGGACATTTCCATCGGTGATGTCCCTGAGTTCAAAACATCTCTTGTGCTGCGATTAAAGTTGCAAGGGCATTCCCATCAATTATGTCACTGATCTCTCATCAATAATTTTACAACATAATTTATTTTGCGCATGTCACCACTCAAATTTTTAATGGTCGTTGAGAACGCACATGTCTCTCCTCACCTAATTTAGTGTAGTAGAGAACTGCTGCAGATTTCTAAATCGTCGTCATTGGGACTCAATTTTGTTAAGCATGGTTCTTCTTAATCGCGAATATCAAAAAATAGGATGCATTTCGAACGTGTCATCGAGAAACGCTGCCTCCTTGCTTCGTGTAATGAATCTCATTTAATTTCGTCTTCTTAAGATGACGGAACCCATCACCTACATCGATGGTACTTCTGTTGATAATTTAGAACCGAACCCTTCCTGTTAATTGAGATACTCCGATATTTTTCATTGTTGTAAAAGCATCCCAGTGACAGCATGAGAACCACACCACGTTCCTGGCCACCACATTCATACCAATTTATTATACGTGTTATTATACCGCTTATTATACCTTCGTGTTTAAGAAGTCATGTCATGTCTTTTGTGTACCTTAAGTGTGAGACGCGATCTAATGGGATAATTGCGACAATTGCATTCTGTGTAGCGAGGATGCTGTGCGTGATCCATGTAATTTGTCTTATTATAATTTATAATATTTTTTTAATGTTAAACCTGAAGATGGTCGAAAGTGAGGACGAAATCATACTCACGTTCCGACGCTCATTCAATTGAGCGGTTCTCCAATGTTTTATTTGTACGGATAGAAATTTCAGATCATAACATGAAGTACTTTTAACCTTTGCCGCTCATCATAAAAAACGAATCATGTATTGAATTGACTAAATTTATCTCGAGGGGTTACAATTGCTGCGATGACTATATATGTACTAAATTTTGACTCCATTATGCACATTATAGTTCTACCGAACGCGTTTCTTGAGTTCTAGCTAGAACATTCGTTCGCTAAAATTTACAAAAGTTTTCTGTGCCTTATTTTATTTGATACAATTATCAAGCAGTTCAATAGCATCGAAAAATTTTGTTTGTAGTATCATGCCCCAAATAAGTTTTCTTCCTCGAGAAATTGCAGCCGATCGAGTAACCATTCATGTTGAAGTCAACATTTAGGTGGTAGATGATACTCTGGTGATGGATGAAACTCGGTGGTGAATAACATTCTGGTGGTATGTCTGTCTGTGCTGCTTAACTCTCGTTTGTTTCGAGTAGTGATGAATCAAATCTACATTGAGTAATTTCGTCATTTGGTTTTGAATTTCTGCATTCAAAGCCCAGTTGCGCCTTCCGGAAAGCCCAGTTATATCCAAGTATGTATACGTTTCATCAAATATCGCGCCTTTGTTCAGTATATTTTTTCGTTGCTTACTTTTTCCAGTATATTAATTTCGTTGCTTATATTTTTTGTTGCTTTTTTCTTTTCGCCAAAGCCAAGATCGCATTTCTTCTGAGCTTGCAAGCGTGCAAGGGACAGGCGAACAATGCTCGTCTTGCGAAGCTAAATCGTCTCTCTGGAATACATGGAAAATCTCGAGAATCTCCTTTCGAACGGAAGGAAATAAAGCTTTATTTAGCGCCGCAGTTTTCGAGAGGACGAGGCTATGGCATGTCTTCTAGCTGTCTTGCTACGACAGTTCCTGTTGTTGATGTTTGTGTTGCAAACGTAGAGCTTCAGAGCAACAAATTTGCTGTGTCTTTGAATCCAGAGTTTACCCTGACGTGTGACTGCGACAAAATTTTCAGTTACAAGCAAATGCTTGAAGATCAAGCAAATGCACGAGATACTTTCATATTGAATAAAAATGCTTCTACATAATGATAGGGACAGTTTTCCATTTCAGTCGCATTTTCCATCTGCTGGCGCATCCACTAAAGTTTAGGAGAAACATGGTTAAATGGCGATGTTCGATGATGATGTATCTAGAAATGAGCGTTTAGTGCTAAAATATTCAGACGATAAAAAGTCGCGCTAACATTGTGTAGGCTATGATATATTGACTTGATCAGTCAATATTGGCCTCCTATGCTCCTTGAGTTTATCAGTCTGATAACAGTGATAAGTTATAAATTTTCCATAGGAAATTGGTAATTTATGCATTTTTATTTATCAACAGTATCGATAAATAAATTTCAATTAATTTATCGATGTTCCATTGTCGAATTTAATTCATGTTACTGCCAAACACTTGGAGCAACTACACATCAACGTACGTGTTCCTTTTCCGTGCCACATGAGAAGAGCTATATAGAGGGCCGTAGTGTCAAGACTCGCTTACGTACATGTAGCGTCCTAAGTTTACGTATCTACCTAAGTATACGTAGTGACCTTTTTTTCGTCTGTGATTGGTGGGTTCGATAAAAGCCGTTAGTGATTGGCTGACTGAGTTACTAACTTGTAACTATGTTGATAATGCGGCCCCATTCATCAACACAAATTTCATGACCCCGGAGGCTGCAGAGCAGGTTAGCATTTCCCCGTTGATATAGAGAGCAAGATGAGCGGAAGCATCGAGGCCTGATTTGCGTCTCGTCCCACATAGTCTGGAGGTTAGGTCAACAAGTCAAATTCTGAGCCAAGCTTTCGCAGCGGGCGGCTACGGAAACGCTTCCTGGCGCACCGCATCTTGGCATGCGCCTCCGCATCATTGCGCATGCCAGCAGTTGAAATGCGCCTACACATCACTGCGCATGCCGGCAGTTGTAATGCGCGTGTAATGCGCCTACACATCACCGCGCATGCCATCAGTTGAAATGCGCGTGTAATGCGCCTCCGCATCATCGCGCATGCCAGCAGTTGTAATGCGCGTGTAATGCGCCTACACATCACCGCGCATGCCATGCAGTTGAAATGCGCGTGTAATGCGCCTACACATCACCGCGCATGCCAGCAGTTGAAATGCGCCTTGTAATTTGTGAAGTCGTCGATCGCGGCTATAAATTCGTTTGAATATGAAGCTTTTTGGATGAAGTTGATTGATTTTGATGAAGTTGGTATTTTGATTGATGAAGTTGATATTTTCTTTATGATGCTCAGCGTAATTTGTGAATGTTATTTTTTAGAATAATAGGTCGCAGCGATTTGAGAGTCAAGCACGGTCAAACTCCTACAATTTTAGAGTCTAGCGCGGCCAAGCTGCTACGATTTTGGGCGTCATTAATTAAGCGTGGCAAAATCGATTTGTCGGCAATATGAAAGATTTTTCGGTAAATCTTATTTCGATGTGTACATGAATAATGTTAACAGTGACGAGTTTTATTATGATTTCGTAAAGTAGTACGGACGTTGCTTATGAAGAGCGTGTTCTCGCTGTTAGGCATATATGATGTTCATCTAAATAAAAGTCGTCGAGGCTGTTATCAGTCCAGTCAGCTGAAGTAAAACTAACGTTCTCTTCTTAAACGTTAGCTTGCGTCAAAACTTCTTTTATTTATATTTTTCCAGGTTATCATTTAAATCGAAACTACTTATTAATTTCCACAGAATTTTATTCAATTATTTATCCTCTAGCCCCATTATTTATCAATTTAAGGCGTCGTTATCGTTATCAAAGTATCACTCAGAAGTAATGTATTATATATTCTGGTTTGTGTCGGCTAATATATTATTTCTTCATTTCCAGTGTAATTTTCCCGTGGCGTCGAAGTGATCAGTCACGGGAGCGGGAACTCGCCCCCGCGGGTTGCCCCGCATATGAAGACCCCAGCCAACCCTCTGCTGCAGCTAACGCAGACCCTCATCAGGTGAGCTGGAATAATTTCTTTCTGTTCTAGCAGTAGAAATTATTGTCAAATTGCTGGAAAATTTGACTAAATCGTTATCTGCTATTTAGATATTATAATCCAGCAATTTTGATTTGTTCTACCAAGTCACGGCAAAAGTTCTGTGTCACTATATAGCTCAGTTATGGAGAGATCGGGTTACAAAGGCCGGATCCCTTGTGAATCAACTCAATCAAGTCACGAAAAATTCAAGAATCGGCAACAAGCCATGTGCATATTTCTTCAGTGCCGACACCTCTATTCGATTCTATAATAATTTGTATAAACGCTACGATGCATTTATGAAAATTGTATTTTTTACTGATAGAAATCTTGTGTTCTTGTGTTTTCAAACTATTTCTGTCAAGGTTCGCCTAGTTTTTTATCACAGTCATCGCGTTTTAATTTATGTGCCGCCAAGTAAGGCGTTGTAACTTGAGAGATTTACACCTGGGATTTCCTCATGTTGCGTTGTTCAGGTATTATGACAGATTCCACTCTTTTACCTTAAAATTACATACATGACACCAAAAAGTCATGAAGTCATTAAATAAGGTAAAAGTTCGTTAAATCAGGAATGAAGGCGTCCAATATGGTATAATGTCGTAAAATGAGATATTAAGGCATAATATGGGGGTGATAAAGCGTTAGATCAGGTATGAAGTCGTTAAATGAGGTAATAAATCGTTAGATCAAGTATCAAGTCGTTAAATCAGGGAATAAATCGATAAATGAGCTTTGAAATAATTAGATTAAACAAATACCTCAGATGCCAGACTAGTTACAATGAGCAGCCTGAAGGACCGCCTCTCCTTCACCTCTGCTGGAGGGTCAGCCTGCATGCCACGAGGCTGCAGATCTCTGCTCCTATAGCCGAGATTGCAAGGCCATTTGTTGCATTCCTTTCTTGATCAGCGTTTGTGTGCTTTGTGAATGTGCGGCGTTTGTGCGCTTTGTGAATGTGCGGCGTTTGTGCGTTTTGTGAATGCGCGGCGTTTGTGTGCTTTGTGAATACGCAGCGTTTGTGTGCTCAGTGAATGCACAGCGTTTGTGTGCTCAGTGAATACACAGCGTTTGTGTGCTCAGTGAATGCACAGCGTTTGTGTGCTCAGTGAATACACAGCGTCTGTGTGCTCAGTGAATACGCAGCGTTTGTGTGCATTGTGAATGCACAGCGTATGTGTGCTCAGTGAATACGCAGCGTTTGTGTGCTCAGTGAATACACAGCGTCTGTGTGCTCAGCGAATACGCAGCGTTTGTGTGCTCAGTGAATACACAGCGTTTGTGTGCTCAGTGAATACACAGCGTTTGTGTGCTCAGTGAATGCACAGCGTTTGTGTGCCCATAGCTGCCACTGATCGAGGACAGTTTCATGCTGAAAATTTTTTTATTATTGTCTAACAAATGCCTTCTTAGGCCGGATGATATCTATTTTGGATATCGTATTTATAGTTATTATATAGATTACTCATGTCATTTATGTTTGTTTGTTGTCCAGTGCATTAACTTTTGTCTCCGAATAAATTTTGCCGTGTTATGTTGATATAAAAATCAAGCTGTAAAATATTTCTGTTGGCCCTCAAATTCTAACCACATTTCCTGGTGTTTTTCTAAGGTCTGTCATATGTTTTTAGTGACCTTAGCATTACCGTTATTTGACACAGATATTCGTACTTTATTAACTTACTACTGTTATTAACGTTGGTGACACTGACTGAGACCGCGCATGGATTGTCGGTCAAATTGCGGGTAAACAACTCAACCATCAATCAAAGTCACCTAGAACGACATGAAAAAGTGACACCGTAGTAATTACTGCCTTGGAAACAATAGAAACGCTCCGATGCCAGCATTGCACAACACTGATGAGTCATCGTTACGGTCCAACGCAGCGGCGCATTCAGCCTGCCCTCGATCTAGCGACTGCATGCCTCAAACATCTGGCTAATGTCATCTCGATAGAGCTATTTCATGCCTTCAAAAGCTCTTAAATTTTCTTTAGATCAAGCTATATTTCATGCCACCAAAAGCTGTTTAATTTTCTTTCGATCGAGCTATTTCAAGCCACCAAAAGCTGTTTACTTTTCTTTCGATCGAGCTATTTCATGCCACCGAAAGCTGTTTACTTTTCTTTCGATCGAGCGATTTCATGCCACCAAAAGCTGTTTAATTTTCTTTCGATCGAGCTATATATCATGCCACCAAATGAGGTTTAATTTTCTTTCGATCGAGCTATATTTCATGCCACCAAAAACTGTTTAATTTTCTTTCGATCGAGCTATATATTTCATGCCAGCAAATGCTGTTTAATTTTCTTTCAATCGAGCTATATTTCATGCCACCAAAAGCTGTTTAATTTTCTTTCGATCGAGCTTATTTCATACCAACAACAGCTGTTAAATTTCGTTTCAATCTAGCAATTTAAAGTCTAAACAAGCTGTTAAAGTTCTTAGTCTAGCAATTTCATGTCATCAATAGTTGTCAAATGTCATCTCTATCGACCTATTTGAAGCCAAAATTAGCTTTAATATTCATCTCGATCGAGCTATTTCACGCCAACAACATCTTTTAGATGTCATCTCGATCGAGTTATTTCATACCATCAAGATTCCGTAGTTATCCTTATAACGAGGCACGGCTTTTGCGATCAATTGTCCCGAAAGCGTTGGCAATATAAAAAAATTTAAGTATGTATTCGGATTCGGGCTGAAAAACAAAATCATAATTTCTCTATGATTTTAAGGATTCTGGTACTGTAAAATGAGTAGATTTTTTTTACTATTGACACAGAGCAATCTCCTTTGTTCTGAAACTTTCTCGTTTCTGACAACACGAATTTTGGCAGTAAAACTTCGTACGAAATTTCTTGGCGCCAATTGAGCTAAAAGCTTCTCAGGCAGTTTGTATTTCGGAGCCGCTGGTCTCGTAAAGTTAATTTGGTGCGGTCATTTGAGCCAGGGAGTGCCGTCGGGGGTGGGTGAGACTTGGCATCAGGTGCTAAGAACTCTGCTACTTAACTTGATATGCTTTCCAAGCTGAGAGCTCTGCTGCTTAACTCGGAATGCCTCATCGAGTTGAGAGCTCTGCTACTTAACTTGATATGCTTTCCAAGCTGAGAGCTCTGCTACTTAACTCGGAATGCCTCATCGAGTTGAGAGCTCTGCTACTTAACTTGATATGTTTTCCAAGCTGAGAGCTCTGCTACTTAACTTGATATGCTTTCCAAGCTGAGAGCTCAGCTACTTAACTTGATATGCTGTCCAAGCTGAGAGCTCAGCTACTTAACTTGATATGCTTTCCAAGCTGAGAGCTCTACTACTTTACTCAGAATGCCTCATCGAGTTGAGAGCTCTGCTACTTAACTTGTTATGCCTCAGCGAGTTGACTACTCTGCTACTCAACTTGGTATGTCTCCTAGAGCTAAGAGCCCAGCTACCTAACTTGATAATTTTTTACCAAGGTTAGAGCTTTTCTACTTGACTACATACGCTTCATTTTCTTCTGTAACCGAGCAGACTCTTCACCTACTTTAAGTGCCCTAATAAGAACCATAGTTGGCCGAATGATGTTTGGGACAATCTTACAATACATTTTAATTGTATTTGCGCCTAGCTTAGACAAACTTGACTGATTGAGTGACTAATTTTTTACATGTGCATCCCTGAGGCCAGTGCGCTGATGCCAGATATCCGAATACCGATCCGAAAAAAAAATAATGTATTTTAGCAATGCACATATATTTTTCTCAAATACTCAATATATAGGCATCATCTGCAAGATTAACTCTCTTTTCCACTCATGAGTAAAATTATTAAAGATATGAAAGTGACCACTTGGACGTAATGTGAGATTACAGTCAAGGCCCGTGATGCAAGAGCACGGCTCCATCAATCATGCTCGACACATATTCCTGTATTCGTTGGTGCCTGGTCCTTCCAACCGCTAGAGGTTTCCCTTTCAACAAGCTTTCCCTCTCACCACCGGACTGCGTCGGTCATCCCGCGAGTGAGTCATGGAATGTGGCGTCCCTTATGACCTCTTTGTTGCGTGCCAACTTCTGGCGCCGCTGCCTCTTCGTGCCACACTGCCACCGGGGCAAAGGGGTTACACTGCCACCGGGGCGAATGTGTTACACTGCCACCGGGGCGAAGGGGTTACATTGCCACCGAGAGCAACATGAAACGTTAAAAAGATGTTTTTCTCGTTTTAAACGCGTGGTTGACACGGATTAAGTTTATACCCATGCCTGGTCCATCTCTGGTGTAATTCATGATTATTCATGATCACTAAATAATCACGAATAGTTATTTTTTTAATCGTAGAAGGAGGTTATTAACATCCTAACAGTAAGCTAATCAAGTCGAAACTTTTCTTCATTGCTTTTTTTACCTGAATTTCTACTCAATCAAACTATGGGTGCTTGTTCGTTCAGCGAGGTCAAGCTTCCTGTTTTGTCAATCATGAAAGCTTTCACTGAAGTCGATTGGATTTTCAGATATTCGCCTATAATATGGATCCGCTGATCTAATCTTTATTTCAAGTGTTTCTATTGTTTCGTTCAAGTATTTTTTGTCAGTTACTTATTTTAACTTGTCTCTAAACGAACGCGTGAAGCGAGGAACCATAAGCGAAAACGTTTTGGAGAAATGAGGTCGATAATATCTGTTATAATTTGATTAAATTGTATTTTGATTTATATTTAAATAAATTTACTTTTAATTTGAAGTATGTTCTCTGCTGAAATTCCTCTACAACAGCTTACGTTCAATGAATCTTTTCTACTCCCAAGAAGAAACAGCGTTTAGCTTTTTATCGTACGCTGGATGATCAGTTAAAATTGTTCATTTCCGATTGCTCGACATTTCTTGCTCGTCCGGCAAGTGTCTTCATGCATGCCTGCGTGCGGACTCGAAATTCTTCAACAGCGCGAGATTCTCTCATAGAATATAAATTGTTAAGATGAGAGATAGAAACATCGACTC